CAGTCTCTAGACTCGTGCCAATATGGTATTTGTAGTCACCGACAAGTAATCCCACACTTCTTCACAAAACGTCTCCTCAGAATCCCTTTCATCGGCCCATCTTAGCCGATGATAGTTTCAAAGCTAATGTTTAATTCTAGCTACGAATCAAAACGAAAAATTGGCTGCAAAAAGGCAAAGTAGAAGGATCAATTACTAACTATTCTACACAGAGTAATCTGCATCACTGGCATGAGGAGAAAGTGAAAACTGTGCAGTGGGCTGACCAGAACAGAAAGCGGAAGAATCTAAAACAAAGCCCTTAAGAGTCCTGTTCCTACACCATTGTAAGTCATATAGTTTGCCTTCGCCTAGCAATACCAGGCTAAACATTAAAAGAGGGGACACCTACATCCTTGGAGGCGAGGTAGACCATGCCATTGGCAACTTCACGAGCAAAGCACAGGAGAACCGACTTCGTCATTGGGCGAGGCTTGATTGCAAACCAAGAGCAATTTTGTCGGAGGTAGTCAATCATCATCAAGGGATGGCCTAGCTATAAAATGACTATGCAGTTTAGCTCCTCCACGATACCATAACTGAAAAGAATCATATCTGTAGGGTTTTATCTTAAGTTAGTAAAACTTACAAACCTATTCTTATAAGACCTAAAAGGTTTAAACCAATGGTAAAACATTGATGATTGTCCACCTAATCACAGGACATCCACAAGATAAACAATTGCTATAGCCTAAAGATGACACCAAAAATCCGCCGACCTAGCCGGTCACCCAATACATTAAACTACTTGATGGAGCAAAATAGACCCAACCTACTATTGTGGATGCTGGTGGCGTGGAGACGAATCATGTTTTCGTGTTTGCCGATGAATTTCATTATTTCAATTTCCTGTACGAAGGCGGTCACGTCTGCATTGGATGAATCCACTGTAGTGCATAAAAGATAAAGAAATGGCACTAATCGTGAATGAGTAGGATAAGTGTACGGAATAAAAAAAGAATCTTTAAGAACATGACCAAATATTTTGTCTACAATAGAATCTAGTAGGTTACAAAGATTCCCATGAAGAACCCAACGAGTGGAAATCGTACTCAGATTCCACAACATTCCCTAACTCTCGTCTCATCTTCGTCCAATTGTGCTTGGCAAAAACATTGAATCCAGACCACGCAGTGAGAGCAAGATCGTTGTCTCTAAAAAAGTGTTAGTGTAGTGCTAACCGTCATTCAGGTAACGTATGGTCATGTAAGGACCACCAAATATGCTATTCGAATTAATGCATCGCTGGATGCGTTATATCCTGGGCATCCTGTCTACCCAAGGAAGTGGAGGCCCCCC